CTAGCATTGTCCTGCTGGAAAATGACACCTTTACGATCGACCAATTCTGGTCGCTTTTCCTTGACCGCTGCATTCAATTTGTCCAGTTGCTAACATTCACGGATAATAAAAAATAACATAATTATAATAATAATAATTTTATAATGTAACATTTACGGATATCACAAAAATGGGAGTGAGAGACATCTATAACTGAAATCGGCAATTACTTAGTTGCCAACCCAATACAATCATATTCGTGTTAAAAACAGTGGACACCGTAGTGATTTCCGGTATCATAATTTAGTTCCAAGAGTCGAGAGTTGCATAGAATGTAGGACACGTCGAGAAGTGTTATAGAGTACGTGTGACCCCGGGAATATACATATAGGAAGGCTGAAACAAGCGTCTACTATTTTAGAGGCCGAAGTTAATGGCAAAATGTCTTTCGTATGAAAAATAATGGCCGGTAAAGCAATCCGAAGTGGCATGCATTATTCCCGTGGTTGTTGCATAGAGTTTATGGGAACAGCGTTAGCCCGAAGTCCTAAGCCTTATATTAACCCGTAGCGTGATTGATGGTCCGCTAATGGTTCGAAAGAGGTTTTTAAACGGTTCTACTGACCATCATCGCGCAGCCAATGGCGATCTTCATGACGGGCACCTCGCTGTACTTCCCGAGTATGTCGTTCATGGTGGTCGTGCTGAACGCGTACAAATTGTACGGCGCCGAGCTGTTCGAGTCCAAATGCTTCTTCACCTGATTGCTGAACGCCCGTTGCCAGGTTTCGAGCACTTGGGATGCCTTCTCCTGGGACCAGTCGATGTGGTGTACCTTGTAGGTGCCGGCGAAGAAATCGTAAAGCTCTCGTTCGCCCATTAGCTGCACAACGGTCTGGAGCGCAGCTGCCCGGGTCAAGTGACCAGTCTTATTGTGCTTAGCGCCGCCGACGAGCAGCTCCTCCGGCCAATGCATATATTTCGCCGCGAAACCGTAACAGCCGCCCGTTAATTCCGCCCCTATGTCTGGTACCTGTCGAAAGAAACCGTATCGTTCGAGTACCCGGTCCGAATACCTCCGCCGCGTTCGACAATCATCCAGCCGACCATTCCGAGAACCACTCGGAAAACCATCGGTTCGGGCTAGCCGATAGCCTGAAATTTTATTTGAAATGAAAATAAACAAACTATCCGTTTGAAATCATTTTTCTTTCAGACCGCCGTTTTCGATACCGTTTTAGTCGAGAAGATAAATAATATCGATTATTTCGTTACTTCTTTATTTCTCGGTTTGGCCAGAAGAAATAATGCTGAAAGTAATAATAAGCGGAAACATTTTATTTTATGAAATTTTCGTAACAATTCGTGTAAATCCGTAAGCTGCAAACCCAGGCCCAAACATTAAATTTAACTACATCATTATTTCAAGTCATTGTAAAACGAAATAACATTTCAAATAATGTCATTTCAATCGTGCCCGGTTCTGCCAATGTTTTTTATAATTTAGCGAAGGTAACATAGATCGATCATCGAAGACAATATTATACAGATCCTCTTCCTGTTCTAAAATATTCTGGACGCAAAGAAGTTCGTCGAATTGAATTACGAAGGAAACGGACTGATAGATCTCAGAATAATTGCTGAATCGGAATCGTTAAGAACCGTCAGCTGACTTCTTTCTCTATCTTTGCTCGAAAGGTTTTAGATTTCGGTGCAGTGGGTGGTTCCGCGGTTCTTTATTTCGATACGATGAAAGGTGCGCGGTTGGACGAAGTCCAAAACCCTTCGCCGCGTCATAGTCACCGGGCGGCTCCGGCGATACGTTCGTATGTCCGAAATAAACAATCCCGACACGACCAATATTATGATATAATTACGACGGTGTTATTGATACATCGACGCGAGTCAGAAATGACTCCGTCACAGGCCCCGGAATCGCAGTAGACCGAAGGTTAAAGTCCTGACTGGTATGCTCCTTTTATAGGTCCCCATAAAATCTCTGTGTGAGGTCCAAGCGACACCCCAGTCGCCACCCTCTGTCGTCTCACTTACGATCACGTTTTTACCATTTCTCGGGGCACCGAGGAACGCCCATTCGAACCCTCTTTCTGTCCAGAATTATTCTTTCGGCAGGCAAAAGAATTCCTAACGTGACTTGACGTGGCTCCTACATAGACTCGGTCACGCTTCGGAGATTCGTGGTTAGACAGGCTTTTGGCTTTGGCTTTGGCTGCCGGCCGAATTGGTCGAGTTTCTGGTTGAAAAAATGAGTTAGACTCGGTTACGACGGAATACGTTTTCATAGACGGTCGAAATGGAAATCCGGATCTTCCTGTTGCCTGTCGTTTAACACGTTCCGTGCCGAGCTTTTTTTACTCGAATCTTCACACTTTGATATTTTACTAAAACTTGATGTATTACGTGCAATTATTAATTCTCGTACACATAACAACGTAACAAAAACTTATCAACGCCCATTCTTGCGGTGGAAATTGATTCTTCGGTTCTAAATTTCTTGTAAACAATTTGTTCAGTTCACTAAGTAAACATGCAAGCGTGTACCATCGATGGTACACGTGGCACGGAACGTGTTAATAATCGTCGCACGTATTTTATCAGTACATTGGGGGTTTCATGCTTCCTCGGCGAAATTTAGTACACGAAACTTTAGGTTAAATATTTATATATTATTAAATAATTTAAAAATATATTATATTATATAAATATATAATATATTATATTACTATAATAATATATTATATTATATAAATATATAATATATTATATTATATAAAAATATATTATATTACTATATAAAGTAGTACAGTAATGTCTCTCTAATTGTGACGCTCAGATCGTCCACAAAAATGGACAATTTAGGAAAAGGAGATACGATTATTATTATAGTCACGAATTGTCAACAACTATAAAAACGAGCTGCAAGGCTCGAATAATCGTATCTCCTCTTCACAAATTGTCCATTTTTCTGCACAATCTGAGCGTCAGTTAGGGAGACATTACTGTACGTATGAAAATTAGTAAGAAGAGAAAGGAATTTTTGTTCGGTTTCTATTTCTTGCTATCTACCTATAAAAAGAATAGTTGAATTGTTTACGAAGAGTTAACGTGCAAGATGTATTTCTTCTTGAATTGTCAAAACAGTACCTTCCCATCAAAGCAACGGTTCTTTAACACGACTGTTGTTGTTTAAAATAGTCCTCTATAATTTTGTTACGCATTGTGCAAAAGTTATAGCATAAACAAAAAAAATACACATCCCCCTATTCCTAATTTATGAACTGGTGTTTTTTCTTTTAAATAAATAAAGAAATTCTGAAGAAATCTTTTCAATGAATGTAGGATTTATGAAAATTTTAAAATAAGAATAGTTCGAAGAACCTTATTGCGTGTCTTATTATTCGAAGGTGCGCGCGGACCTTCCACCTACCGTGTTAAAACAAGAATATTGAATTTGAATTATGGTCGTCGGAATAGAAATCGACAATTACCGGTACAATTCCATTGGACTCGTACGCAGGTCACGCAACCTGTCAAACCCGTCGTTTAAAAATCACCATGGGTAGTGGGCATGCAATTATGTAAGTACATACTTTGTAAATCATCGATTAATTAGCCGGCGGTGTTGAAAATGAACGGCGCGAAATCGCAAGGAGTTTCGATTTTCGTGAAAAATCGGCGGGGATAAAGGGGCGAGAAGAAATGAAAGCGAAAAAAAACGAACGGGAAAGATACGGAGGACCGTTTACTGTTGATCGCATACTAATGAGGTAGTGTTAATTACCCGCGATTAAATCGTCGGGCATTGCAAAATAATTAAACGGATAAGTGGGTGTCGGCCGGAGAAATTACGGAAGACGCGTGGTTACGATGGTTTTGCGAATATCGGAGTCGAAGATTACCTCCGCTTAATAAACGATAAGTAAAAATAATCGGTGCATGCAGTAGACGCCTCGAAATCGACTAACTTCTACCTGGTAACAATAATGATACAGAATACACTTCGTCGATAAATTTCTCATTACATTAACCCTAGAAAGATAACCATATGACAACGTACGTAAAAGATAACCATACGCTTCAGAGGCGCATGCTTTTCTAAGGCGTCAATTTTATACTAACAATGGATATTTATTTAAGTTAATCTAGTCATTTTAAAGGTTTGGCATTATTGTAAAAATAAAATGCATTTATATTATATTTTTTTATATTTTAAGCAATTTTAAACTTAAATCACTAGACCTCTATGAAAAATTAACAAAAATCAACAGTCTTCGGTTTATGGAAACAAATCCCGTAAAATATCACAAAAAATAGTGTTTTATCCTTACAAACTAGTAGACTATAATATAATCAGTGTAAAAAAAACTATAATATTATAAAAAATTTCTTTAGAGACAGTCATGACAAACGTCTTTCTTGTGTTCACCACAAACTGTCTTTTTGCATTTGGCACAGGTCATCTTTGACATTCTTTTCTTTTTAGACGTGCAAAGACTGCAATAACGCCTTTTTTTGGCTGAGGGTTCTTCTTCATAATCTGTGGAAGCCTGTACAGCAGATTTTGGAAGAATATTTTCAATGTTGCTTCGCACATGCCTTGGCAAAGTGG